TAGGCTAAAGAGTGTTGACTATTATCTAATCAATAATTTATTTAACGGAACTTTTATTAAACCAGCTCTAATCAGGAAATTCAAAGAGGAAGATATCTGAGAGAGAGAAAGAGACTTTAAGTAATAAATGGCTTTGTAAATTAATAATCCCCTTACGTATATTATTGATATTAATTATTCAGCAATTTAAGCTTTCATGTGGGCCAATAATAAATGCTGCTTTTAAACTTAATTTATTTTTTTTTTAGTATTTTTGTAAATTTTATTTTTGTATTTTTATTTTATTTTTTTTATTTTTATATTATTATTTTTATTTTTTTATTTAAGATTGGGCATTGATTTGAAAGAAATAACAAATTTAAAGTCATGTTCATTCGATTGGCTTTGTAGCATTTCCACTTCAATAGAGGCAATTACCATAGTTGAAGCTCTAGTAGGGCTTTCTCTTTCATTTGCACTCCTTATTCAATTGGCGAACAATCGAAACTGCGTTTATTATTTTTAGTGCACTTTTGCAGCTTATTAAATAAATTTGAAGGGCTGCCCCTCGAAGCATTACGGGACTGCACTTGCCGCATCTTGACCTTTGTAATCAAATACAATCGAAACTGTGCCGAGCAGCTCACTCTCTCTCTCCCTCTCTCTCTCTCCCTCTCTCTCTCTCTCTCTCTCTCTTTTCTTATTCAATAACCATTCGCCATTCGCCATGCACTTCAGTAAAACGAATATCAAAGCTAAATAAGAAGGCCTGGGCTGGGGCAGGGGCTGCTGCATCGTGGAACAAGTTAAATGCCAACGGCACACGAAGGGCAGCCCCAATGAGTACACTTGTTGCCATTCGCAAATTGCTTTCAAAAATACCAGAAACTTTCGACAGGTAACAGAAAATGCAAAAAAAAGCAAATAACTTATGCACACACACACACACACACATTCGTATAGATGTGCATTTGGATTACCATGCGATTTAAGCGATCTCTTTTGTGTTATATTGAAATTGAATTTGTGGCTGGAGCACGCTGCGTATGCGTAACACTATAACTAATTGGACTACGCATGGAGTGTCTGGCAATGTCTGGCAATGTCTGACAATGTCTGACAATGTCTGACAATGTCTGGCCACTCCTCCAACTGTGAGCGCAGCGTCAAAGGTTAGCTCGTGCACTCGCTGTGTCCCCAAAACAAACTGAATAAATACGCCCCACTGTCTGCAGATATACATGTGCATACATATACATATATGTATATGTCTGTGTGTGTGTGATTCGACTGTCGTTTACCAAAGATATTGCTTCGCATGCATTTTTATTTCCATTTCCCTGTGGTGTATTTCGAAGCAAGCCGAGTGCAATAATTTATCTCGTCGTCGTCCCAGCCCACATATATATGTGTATGCATTAATATTTGTGGCCATCTGTGTGGGTGTGTGTGTGTATGTGTGTGAGGCTCGCTTCTAATAAGATAATCGAGGCAGGACAAGGCCCGATTTCAGATTGTGCTTCCATCGATGACGTGTTAATTGTGGCCAGCGCTGGAAGCAATGCATGCTGACTTGTTACTTTGTTGCCATGTCGGGGGGCGTGGCTGGTGCTGGTGCCGTTGCTGGTGTGAGGCAAGGCCGAGGAAATGGGTTACGTCCGTGCGAAAGTACGAGACGGCGGCGTGTGTGCATGTAATATAATAAAAGACTAAATAATACATGTGCAGCATATGCGAAAGGTTGCATGTATGTGTATCCATTGCCAGCCAGAGTTACCAAGCAATTAAACATAAAAACAAAAAAATGGAAACCATATTTGGCTTAATTATATTTTAAATTTAATTGCATGCTCAATATATTTATATTTTATGTGATTCAAAAAATACATATACATACATATATATTTAAATAATTTGGGTAACAATTTGCTTAAATTTGTAGCCGCTGACAACCCCTCGGGCAATTTCCGTTACATCATTCACCATCCCTTATGTATATTTTCTTTAATTATTACGTTTTTTGTGCCCTTCTTCTTCCAGAAAACAATGCATTTTATCTCGGCACGGCAATGAGACTCTTACACATTTTATTTTCCACTCTGCTTTCATTCAGCTTTGACATAAACCCACACGCAGACACTGAGGCGCTTGCACGCAAAAACTGCACGACTTGGCTGAGTTTAGGGTGGACCCAATTATGCAGCAATTAAATGTGATGAAAACTCAATTGAATAACGGATTGATGAAAGAATAGCATGACATTATTAGTGTCAATTTCCACTGAGAAAGCCAATGCATTTTCATTATTTAGTTTAAAATTTATTGGAAATTTTAATACATCGCATTATTATATTATATAAATATTCTATACATCGCATTTCTTCAAGCGAACTACCTAGCTTGCCTAGCCTCGACGCTTTGGTCCACTCTAGGCCTAAGTATTGGCACACACATTGGCTGCTGCTGTCTACACCTAACACCGCACCCCATTCCACTCGTGCCCCCCACTGCTGCACCACCTCATCGTGGTGCCACAAGATGCAAGAGGCAGAATGCATGTCTAGCTGCGATAGAGATACTACAATATATAGAGTGCTTGTGCTACAACTAAATACTTAATTTCGCTCTTTGCCATTGCCTTTGATTCTTTTAATTTTCCAGCAACAACAACAGCCTGTCGAGCGGAGGGCGGCGGCGGCGGCGGTGGGCGGGGCTAATAGGCTGTAGACAAGAACGAAACAGAATGAGCAGAATAGAAGGGAACGTAATGGCACCCCGTCTCCTCTCCTCTCCTCTCCTTCAGCTACTCATGTTGTCTGCCTCTGCGTTGTCTCGCCTCATTTACGGCCTACGCACACCCGCACACACACACACATATGAGGCTGCCTGGAAGAGCAGCTGTTTGGAGCGCTATGCCATGCAGTTGGCTGCAGAGTAAGTCGGTCTTTTAAACGTTGCGGACGGTGCCGAAAAATCGACGCTGGCGAAGCAAATATCGCTCATACGCCGCGTGCCGAGATCGATGCTGACAGATAGTTGGGCCAGTGCGAGAGTGAGATAGCCTGTGTTTTCTGATTGAAATGTAAATAAGCGACAGCCGAATTGCATATCGCGAGCAATTTCCATCGGCTACAGCCAAAAAAAGAAAAAATACTGTGCCCCATTGACGTTGCATCGCGAGTGCAGACGGTCCGAGTGACGTCTCTCTTGTGTAATAAATCAATTTGCAAACAAATCACAGCGATAAATTGAAGGCCATACTTAAATTGTCGAACAAAATAAGATATATACATATATACAAATATATTTATATATGTATGTTTGTACATATGTACATATATATTTTATGCAATTTATTTTAAATAAACTTTAAGCAATTGTGTCTAGCTGCTGTTCGGTTTATTAACAATCGGTTTTAAATTACAAAAATGGATTTTCAATCACGCCTGTCAACTCGTTAAATGCTAAAGTGCCGCACAGTGGTCAAATGACCATTGAAAACTGAAATATTTTCGACTGATTGCAGAGTCAATAAATTCGATAAATAATTAGGTCACATTAGTAGTAGGTATATTTTATGTTTCTAAAATACGATTTTTCATCTGATCAAATATAGAAGAGTAAAAAGAAATATTCGACAATGACAGACGAACGAATACCCAATATTATTTCCGGGCAAAATCATCTTGCGAAGCTCTATAAACTTTTGATTTTGATTAATATATATATTCACGATAGTAAAATTCTATGCAGCTGTCAGCATAGCCTTTTCCATGCACACAACTTTTACAGGGTATACCAAATAAATCAAATAGAAAACACTGAAGTGTCATGCAACAAAGTCTTTAATGTTTCGCTTGCCATAAATTACACGTTTATATGATTTTCATAAAATTTTTATTTAGGATTTGAGCTGAGCATTCCAATGGGAATTGTTTTTCCATTAAGTTGCATCAATTGAAGCTGAATAGCATACTTTTTTTTTTACTACATTTTGTTTATCGTTTCACATCGTGAAGTGCGAACAAAAGTCGAGCCGATCAAATTGATTTTTAATTATTGAGCCTATTAAGCAGAGCAACTTAGCTTGTTTTCCATTCGGTAATTATTCGAATCATGCTGTGGCGATCTTTCGTGTTGTTTCATTCATGTTCCATTGAATGAGTAACTCGACTATGTGAAATCAAACAGGTTCCAGTCATCATTAAGCAATGCCCACATGCAATACGCAGAACTGTGAGCTATAGAGCAGCGTTCCGATCAACTCGATAGGTAATTCGCATGTTTATGTCCCGACATGTCGGCAAGGAAATTGGCCAGAGCACAAGGCGAGCTGAGCTGTCTGCGGGTTTGTCGGCCTACAGTTTGAAGGGGTTTGCGGCTAGGGGTCGTCTTTGGCGTAATACTAGAAACATTTCGAATGTGTATAAAATAAACACAAAACAAAACAAAAAACACGCTACAATAAATTGAGGCAAACTTATACAGGCTTAGGCAGTGCTATCTCTACATACATATATATGCATGCGTATGACCACATATATATGTATATGCATGTGTGTGTGTGTGTGTGTGTGTGTTTGTAGGAATAATAAAAGTACAAGAAAATACAAATATCGAACACAATGGAAACAATAACGTGCGAAGCGATTGGAAATGCGCCACAGACGCGGCCACAGTAGCATTCGCAGTCGCAGTCGCAGCCGCAGTCGCAGTCGCAGTCGCAGTAGCTGAGGCAGAGCCAGCTACTGCCCGGTCAGCGTCCGGCGTGTCAGTCAGTGGCAGCAGAAGCAGCCGGTTAGCCAGCGTGCCAACAACAAGTCGCAGATAGAATACACAAATCGATACGAATTATCGAAAGATCGTGTCGTGCTGTAAATTTTGTTCATATGCAAATCTGGTGCACAACTACATACATAAATATACATATATGTATATATAAATCTATAAATTTGATTTAATTGATGCAGCTGGCTAGAAGTAATGAAATACATTTAAAATATATATATACGGAAAATACAATAACAAAGAGAAGGAAAAGCTGCGGCAGAGTGCATTGTGCTAATTATGCGGGCGCACGGGGCGTATGCGTGTTGAAAGTGCTAAAGCTAAAGCTAAAGTGCAATACAAAAGTCAAAGCAGAAGAAGGCAACAGCCAACAGAAACACAAACAAACACACACACACACACGCGCGCGCACACCAACGACTTGTTGCCGGGAAAAACGGAAAAGCGGAAAACTGAGTTATTATTGTCGTGGAAAAGTCGCGCACTATGCGAAGAATGTGTCTGTGACGAAGTGTCGACGTTTACGAATTATCAATTCCTTACGCTTCAAATGTGATTTAGCCCCTCTCCCTCTCTCTCACTCTCTGTGCTCATATCTTTGTGTGTGTGTGTGTGTAGGTGTGCGTGCGTGTGTTAGTGTCGACTAATTGAAATAATGTCATGCATTGGCTCGACGGCATTTCTTTGGATGACAATTTAATTAGCGGACGGGCGAGCGACAGCAACGGCGACAACGGCGACAACAATCAGCGGAAATCAACGCAAAACTCATCGCCAACGAAAGCAAGTAGGTTGCAACATAGTTAAGTACATACACACACACACACACACACACACATACACACACACACAGTCAGTTCTACTCATTTACAGCGTGAGCGAATCGAGCGTCTTTATTTAGCTGAGCTCAACACAAATTCCATTCCAAGTCTGTGAGCGCAACTTGTCTATGGCCAAAAATGTTTGTTCCAGCCAGCTTCAAAGTTGCCAAACACAATTATTTCAATTATTTGCCACTAAATAACAGACTTGAGTGATTACCGAGTTTATTACCAAATTTTAAATAAATTAACTTGAGTGTTTTTTTAATTTAAGGAAATTTAAAATTATAGAGTAAAAACATATTCATTTGTATTTATTTCATTAAATTACAAATTTCTTTTAAATTTTGTGTTTATTTATTTTTATTTTATTCATTTATTAAATTATTATTTTTTATTTATTGTAATTATTTCACTATTATTTTAATTTATTTTTTTATTTCTTTTTTTAAACCTTTTTGGTTTTCTTTTCATAAAATAAAAATTACATTATTATGATTGCCAGCAGAGATATAAATTTAATTTTAATAAAATTGTTTACTTTTTTTTTAAGATAGTCGACTTAAATTATTAAAGCTTAAATCTTTTAAGCCCCTAAAAATATTTTTATAATGAAAATCGGCTTAAGCTACAGATAGTAGAGCCAGTTTAGGATAGTTTGAAGCTTAGCAGAGCAATTAACAATGAATTGGGCGAAACTTTTTCACTTTTGCACCTTTTTGATGGGATTAGAAATTTAGTTGCAAATGAAAAATACAAATTTCATTTTACATTTAAGACAATTAGTGTGAATCAGTGAAGCTGCCTAAGGATAGATGCTAGCTAAGCTACATTTCGACTATTTACCGTCTCGTAAATTGCCTCGGCTGTCCTTGTCGAGTCGATTGTTCGTTTTAAATCCAAATGAGCCTCAATTGCTGGTGGACTGAAGCATTGTTTAAAGGCATTACGAGATTGAGATTTATTTCAATTACGCCGTAAAATGTACTTGAAATCATTTAAAATACACACATATATGTATGTACTATGCACATATATACATTTGGATATACATATATTTTTCCAATGAATTTATTATGCGACTAATTAAATGACGGCCACGTCTGGCAAATGGTTTGTTCGGTCGCATAAATTTGTCTTTAGCATCAAAGAAAAAATTTATTGAATTTCATTTTAATTGGGCAGCACATTATTCTAGCTTTAGGCCCAAATTATCGAGCGAGCGGGTCAGTGGGGAAATGTTTCATGTCGAACCGATTTCCACTTTTTTATGCAAATTTTCCGTACAGCTTTTTGTTTGTATGTGTTTGTGTATTGCAATTAATTGAAACATATTTGTACCTAGTACATATTTAAATTTGGCTCGTACAATTAGCAGCGAATGAATTTCAAATTGAAAACGCTTCAAATATTATTATTTGCATTTCATTTGCGCTCATAAAAAGCGTCGTCGGAACATTGAACCTCCAAAATGCTACCTATAATATTTTCCCCAGTTGATTATCAACAACAACAACAGCAACAACAATGAAAACGAAAACGATTTCGTATATGATTTTATTGCAGGCGATTTGCGCCACGATAATTTTTGAATAATTAAATTGATCTCGTTTCCGCTACCTTGATCGCTGGCCTCCACTAGGAAATCGACGCGAGAATCGCATTGATTGAACATAACAATATGACGTTGCAATGCAATAGATGTAGGGTATTTCGATTTTCCCATACAGTTGGCGATGAAACAACAAGTGCCTGAATGAGCTGCATCTCTATAGTCAAGAATGGTGGACTCTATTGATTATCTGCTGCAGATATAGGAGGTGACTGTAGTTGATTGATTGACGAGCTGAATAACTGATTGAATGAACTGTCTGCTGGCTGATTGCCTGCTTAAAATGTTGGCTAATGGACTCACAGAGCACAGACCGTAGCTCAATGAAAAGTTGACATTGAAAAAGTCCTTGAAGAGTTCAACGTCTAAATAGAAAATAGAATTTATGAAGACAAAGGTGATTCCAAAAGAACTGAACTACGCTCAGATCTCTGAGGCTATATACAAACATTTGATGTCTTCAGTAGCTGTCAATCAGCATTTCAAGGGTATTTAAGATTCATCTACCTCTAGCAGGAACATTATTTTGGCGCTTTTATGCCTTTCGGTTGGATCGCTTCAATTAGCACTGCCAAACGGTGTGACGCATTGTTTTTATTTTGGAAATTATTTACAAAACAGGCCGGCGAATGGATAAAGGCAAAGGCCATGTGAGTGTTAGCCCGCACTTGTAAATATCATTCAGCCAAATTGTCGGCATATGGCGACCCCTTTATCCCACTATCTCTCTCTCTCTCTCTTACTCTTTGGCCAGCTGGAATGTTGGCCAACTTTACAGCTCTGATTCAGCCTGTGGCTGATTTGTGTGAGTGCGTTTCCAAAATAGATTCGGCCTGATCTTCGCACTCACCTTTCCACTAGACATGTGTCCACAGCGCAGACAGCCGCAAAACATAAACAGAACATTTCGTTGGCAAGAATCTAATTTAGTCAAAATACTGACACATTTAAAATAAATAAATGCGACAAGCTGAAATATATTTGACCAAATTTATATGAAGACTTGAAATTCCATATCAGATTGAATGGAACGCTTAACGATTTTATGTATAAATGTTTATAGAGATGTATTCAGATTATATTTGAATTGATTCTTGCTTAACGTCGAACAGTTTTCCTGCCAATTATCAACAAATATACATATGTATCTGCTGAGACTCCAATTAGCACATATTTTCTATATTTTTTCATTAAATCATAATCAAATAAATTTCACTATAATCAGTTGAGTCTTAACAGTTCTATCAATTTGAGTGTTAAGTAAAGGGCACACACCTTATAAATAAAGAACAATAATTAAGCTTATTCAGCAAAGACAGAGAATTATGAATATATTTAAGCCTTTCGATGCCTGCTGGAAATGTCAAAGCAGCGAGCCATAAATTATGCTTTGAAAAGTCTAAATCCATTTGGAAACTTTTGATCGTAAACTTGTTTATTTATGTGTCGCCCTAATCCAGTGCCTGGCCATCGCGAGGAACCTATAAAATTAATGAAGATTTTGTTTAAAACCATACGAAATGTAGGTGACATGGCCACGCCCTCGGCTCGTTCGCACCTCTCTGAAGTGTTGCTCTCTCTATTAGAGTCGTTTTTAGTCTACTATGAAAAACGTTTGCTCATCAAATAGTCCCGTCGAAAGCAGCTTACTGTGATCTATATGGGCATTTATGAGTGGCTGCACTTTTTGTGGAAATTTCAAACATGTTTTTTGCACCGAAAAAGAAATCAAATGCCAGACGAAATAAAGAGCTTGGCCCACAAAAGTCAAATGCAGCAGACGCTGGGCCCATGCAAAAATCACTAACAAAAACAAACATAAAGTCTTTTAGGGCCATATTTGCTTGTATTTCGACTGTGCATTTCGCTTTGGACACGCACACAAAAAGTTTCGTCTTTTCTACCCTATAGCAGAGGGCATTTTGCAGTTGTCATGGCGTGTGTTACACATAGAGGAAGTTGGATTTGCTTTAATGAAATATATGTATACGAATATATTATATGTTCATTAAATATTAAGCAGAATTCAATAACTATTTCTTAGCTTAACAACTGTGCTGAAAAATCAAGAAATGCAGTAGATAAATTCAACCTTGACTACAGAACACATTCATATATTGTACTATATCAGTGATAATACTGTAAATAAAAGGTATTTATTATTTTCTATTAAAGATATATCCAAAGGAGTGAAAGGACTAATTTACCTTATCAACTACATTGGTAAATCATATCAAATATATATATCATATTTCTATACTGTTTAGAAAGAAAGGGTATTCCGTATTCAGCAATTGCCACTTTCGCTTCCTTTTTATGCGGTCTCAATTTGCTGTTCGTTCAACGAATCGTTGGATGTAAATTTCGACTAGAAGCCGCACGCACATTCCATCACTGAATTGGCAGGCCGTATGCAACGCTGGCCCCGCCCACCTCCACTGCGTTTGTTTGTGTGTTTGTGCGAGTGTGTGTGTGTGTGTTGGCTGAGTCTAAGCAACAACAAATAAAATGTATACGCAATTATTTAACATGAAACACACAAACAACAAAAGCGACGCACTCTCGCACCGCCGTGGGGCAGGCGGCCAAGTGGTTGGCCCCAGACGCAGTGGTGCAGTTGGAAGTCGCGTGCCTGCCAGGCCACAACGTATCCGTTGGACCGTTCCGTACGCGTACAAACCTGTGCTCATACCCGTCCCCCACTGACTCGCCGTCTCTCTCACAGCTATACGCCGTATCTGTATCTTTGCTGCATTCGCATCTGTATCTCTGTCAACGGAGGCGAACGAACGCCTTTCACAATCTGTGCCGCTGTACGAAATGTATTTTTAAAATTCCATTTCTGATACACCTATTTAAAGTATGCCTAGCATGCGCAAGTGTCCGAAAATAATAAGTCGAATTCTTCATAAATCCAATCGAACACTTTCCGTCGACGGCCCGCTAATTGCGATCGACCCACGAAAAGAGCATTTATTTAATAAAAAGCGTGTTTATATTTATGAGTTCCTATTACGATACTGAGTAAGTTTATAAATAAACAGCAATGAATTGCACTCGAACGACTAACAGATTCCCTATTTACCATTTCTATTCAGACAGATAGGAAATCAGTGAATCAGACAGTGAAAATTATATACTGCTGAAAGTTTATATATTAAATGATTTATTTATGCAAATATGTTTGCAGAAATATAAAAGTGTTTTGCTAAGCAAATATTATTGTTATTAACAATGGGCATAGATATCGATTCTGCTTTATATAAAATGTTTGTTTATCTTTGATTTGATGAGTATTATATGATTTCTTTAATCTGCAATCTCGGTTACTTAATGCTATTTGGCTGGCGATAGTTATTCTGATTGGGTTATCGGCGGCTTGCAATGCAAATTTGTTTAATTTCATGCACAATACCCTTACAAAATCAGTTCCATTAGCTCACATATGGTGCTCCAATCAAGGACCTGGTCTCGATTGTAGCACATGTGTAAATACTGATTGAATGATGACAATGAGCACTTGACAACTTGATCGATAAATCAATTGCCTTGACAGATAATGCTGCTACGACCCTTTGAATAAAATGCCTTGCAAGTTCCCAACCGAAACCCTTGTCGTGTTGTTGTTGTTGTAGTTGTTGTTGCTGCTGTTGCTGCTGTTGCTGTAGCTGGGAAGAGGAGCCTATTCGTGAAAAGCCTTTGTGCATTGTCGTTGTGAAAGGCACACATATTTCCATATGAATATGCCGATATACATACATGAACCCATACATGAATATATACATATTGATGCGGTCGCCTGGGCATTGTGCTTGGGGCAGACAGGTCCTAGAGAATGTCATTGAACATCAAGATATTGAAGCAGTCGTTAATATGCCACACACAACAATTTTTATTTGCGTCTGGAAAGTTTCTCTCTTTATTATGATTTTATTTTACTATTATTATCTCTTTTTACCTAAAATTGGCATAGTTACTTGCAATGCAGTGTAAAATTCGCAATATCGCTCGGTAAATATGTATCTCATTTCGAAATGTTTTCATTTGAAGCTCTATTTGTATTGTTTTTGTGCCGAAATATTCAACATGCGCTCACACACTTTGGCTCTATCTAAATAAACACGCTCTCGAGTATTGATAAACAATGTAAAAGTAAATTTTCGTATCTAAGGAAAAACGAACAAACACACAGATATCACATGTCTACATTTACACATTTACAACAACGAAATTAATTTTATCGACAAATTTTTGTTGTTCCTTTTGTTTCTTTTTTTTCTTTTTGTATGTTGTGTTGTGATTGTTTTTTTTTTTTTTATTCTTTGGATTTCGCTTTTGTTCTGTATTTTATGTCTTTTTGCATTTGTTTTTTTTTTTCGTTTGCTGGTCTTTCTTTCATATGCGGCAAACTAACGCACGACTATGCTCCGAGAACGAAGACGTCATGCACACTATAAGCTAAATAGCAGGTAACTTATCCAATTTTACATATTTTAGCTATTAAATTTAATCCATTTTTGATAAGAATCGAATTTAAACCGCCAACTGCTTGGCGGTTCAGTGATCAAAAAAGCTTTTAAGCAGTGCAAAGCTCTGCGATCAGTGAGAGAGAGAGAGCTTGGAGAAAGCTCTGTAGCGGCTGATTTTAAGGATCATGCGCATTCGATTCCACAATTCTCTCTCATACTAAAAATATAAGTTTATGACTATTATAAATGACCTTTTTTATAAGAGACAAATTTGAAAACTTTGATAATTTAAAAAAAACAGTAATTAATATTCAACAAAAGAAAATATATTTTTATTATAGTTTTTTAATATGAATTTAAATTTAAAATAAATACAAAACATTTAAATTAAATTAAATAAAATGCGAAATTTCAAAATTACGAAATATAAAATTTGTAAACACTTCCATCAACGAATATACCCCATTATCAGTTCATTGTGAGTCATTCCATAAATAATGCAATAATATCTTAAAGAAACATTTCATCGGCATCTTAACACGAATATTAAAATATTATTGGTTTAGACTAAGCTGTCTGCGTCTAATTTATGTCAAAGAAAACAAAGGCAGGCAGCAACAATAATTAGACCAGCAACAAATTGGCACGAGTTCCGCAAATATATATACATATAGATAAACTAAGATAATAACTAAAAATAAAGGCAAACAAATATATTTATATATTTTTAAAATATCCGTTTTTTTGTGTTGAATATTTATTGGCTCACATAACCTCTGTTAATTTTTTAATGGCTTATAAATAATTTAAATTCACAAATTAGCATAACCAAACGCCCAAGTGAACGTGAACAAAAAATTATTTATGACAGGCACTGTGAACTTTAAATTTGTTATAGCGAGGGTCGCCTGAGAAGTAGTTGTGGTCATAGAGAAAATAGAGCGAATATCTAAGCAAATCAAGAAATAGGAAGTAAATTTTATACCTGATTGAACATGTCAATGAAAGATGTGTTAATTATGTTATAGAAAGAATTCTTGCATATAATTAAAATGAAAATAATATCAATAATGTTATAGTTCCAGTTCTGGCCATTTATTACCCAGGCAGATAAATATTATGAAACCCCATAAAATGATCATAAAATGAGTATGGATGCCCTTGAAAATAGTACTCCTCCTGCCGTTACAAATTTAAATAAAATCGACCTTCATAAGAAAAATAGTTAATTAAAATTCGGACTGCCTATGTCCAGATGTATGACGATGACACTTAGGTCAACTATTTGGTTGTCGGCAGTCATCTGTCTAATGTTGCTAACGAAAATGTGTTTGAAGTACATACGCCTGTGTGTTTACAAAATAACCCAACTAGAATTATTGACCTTAGCTGACAGAGAGATTGTCGGGTTAAATAGTCGTACTTTCGCCTCTGTCGCTTGTTGCTTGTTGATGTAAGATTTATTTGGGGTTGTGCTGGTGTGGGCGTGCGAGATACTTTTATTTTTCACCACTTATAGCGCCGACTGTCAGCATCCGTGACACATTTCAGATACTTATTTCTGTACGCTGTGGCAGCTGGCTATCGGGCTAATCAGTGGCCGGTGCATGCCAATGGAATCGAAAAATAGTGCAAAATAAAAAATGGTTAAGCAATTCACAATGTTATTTAACTGAGTAGCTAGAGAGCTGTAAAATTAATTGAAATTGCGGTGCAGCTGGGTAATTTATATTATCGGCTGCTTATAGTTGAAATAAATTAATTTTTGTTGTCCTTTTGCTGCTTGTAATCAAATTGTAATTGCGGAAAAAATGTAACACTTGCCGCTATAAGCCCATAAACCAATCCGATTAATGGCTTGATTAAATTGAATTTATTTGGACTGCAATCAAGACAAGCCGTTAAAATAGTTGCGGAAGCCAAATTTAAACTACAAATCGTATTAAGCTTGACTATATAATAAACAAAATAAAATATGTCTATCAATGTACAATTCAATAAAAAATTCACAAAGTTCTTGCTGAGATTATAATACAAATATAATTAATTTTAATAATACAAATTTGATACTTATATATGAAAATAATTTATCTTATTTTTTATTATTATTATTTTTTTTGTACATTAGCATTTTATATAAAGATCTATGTATATGTATAAACAAATTTATATACATTTGTTTCATATTTGTATATAAGCTAATCGTAAAAGCTTTTTTGCAGTTAAAAACTCACTGACCGCATACGTGAAAAGTTCAAATCTCTTTCTATATACCCTTTGGATATGTATTCGAAACATTTATATGCCTACAGAAGACATTAAATTGGAATTGAGGAATCGAGGAATTTATTTATTTTGTATTTTATTATTGGGAATATTAAATCAATAATTTTGTATTCTCAATATAATATACAAATTAGATGTTATTTAGAAAATAAAGCTGAAATATATTTTAATTAAAAACTTAAATGAGCAATAATTCTTATTTAAAGTTTCCGCATAAACTCTTTTTTTTTTGGTATTTCTATGAATTTACATTATATAAAAATAAATAATATATAAACTTTCTATAAAGACAAGATTGGCTTAGCATTTACACGGTATTCAACTGACGTTGTCAAACATTTAGCATGATAAAAAAGCGAGAGAGAGAGAGAGAGAGCATTGTTCCCATCGGTATTTGCTTTTAAATATTCGACGTCTGTGTTGTTCTTTTCATATTTAATCTCTGAGCAGAGTGCCCGCCTTTCATTGAGAACGATGATTTGTTGATATTGGTAGTGCCTTAAAGATTTAGCCGCCGTCGTCTTTGCTTTATGAAACTTTTCACAGTTTCGTAGCAGTTTCGTAGCAGTTTTTCTTTATTTTTTGTTTCATTTTCATTTTCATTTTAGTTTAGTTTTATTAAAAATTGAACCAGTGGCCGTCACGGGCAGAGCATGTTGCTCTTGGCGGCATTCAATGCCAGTCGTTGGCGTTCGTTTGTTGCCTTTGTGGTGTTGTTGTAGTCGTTTGTTTTTGGCCAAAACTGATCTCGCCCAACTGTCAGTTTTCTGTTCATAGCCGAATCGTGCGGTATTGCAGTGCGAATACAAATTTTCACGTCTTCGCTGCGCCGAATTTTCTTTTGTTATCTAATTTTTCATATGATTTAGAGCCAGAGCAAAAGAAAAAAAAAATGAAATACACGATAAAAAATGTTGTACAACTGTAAACAAAGTGTGTAGCTAATTAGTTTCGGTCCAAAGTTAAGCACGCGTCCAGCGGATTTATGTGTGCAAAGCCAGCCAAATTGTGTCACCGTTTTGAAATATTTACCTCATTATTTGTGTATTAAATGAAAGGCGCGAAAAGTACTCGAACACACAATGAACGCAGTCGCAAGGGCAGCAAACGCTCCGAGAAGTCGGCAAAGTAAGCTTGTTGACATCGTTTTTGTCTGCCATTCGAGAATGGGAATGGGAAACTTACATATTTTAAGTCCCTTGCCCTCATTTCTGTTGGCGAACATCTGGATAACGTGCCCTATATATCGATTAATATTAAAAGTCATTAAAATTTCTAATATCCATACACTTTAGTGATCGTAAAATAAACATTCTCGCCTCAAACAGATGCTAAAAATAAAGTTTATTGTTTATCAGCGAGTCATGTACATTGTCCAAGTTGAAATTACACGTTTCACACACACACACACACAGACGCAATCACAAACTGAATCTGAATCTGTTTACCGCGCCTTTCATTGCAAATCACAGTGCAAACGATTGTTTTCATTACGTTCCTCAGCCGCACACACACACACACACATGCACAAACAGCGCATTTTGTGAATAAAAATGCCAAACGTTACGCCTTCTATCGATCATACATTTATCGATTTAACTGTGTATCCCCCACGTTTTGCTCACGCACACGCCTCCGCACACTTACACGCATGTCAAAAATAGATTCTCAAATTCAGGGCTGGAGCGTCGATAGTTCACGTGCGGAATCAGCACTAGTTCGTGAGAACTGTGAACTCTTTACGAAAACGAAAATTCACGAATTCACTGCGATTTATTTATTTATTTATTTATTCCCTTAAAATCATATAGCAATCAAAAAATAAAATTATATAAAAATAAATCCAATAATAAAATGGTTAAAAAAAACCATAAACAATCGAATAAATTTGCAATATATATATAATTATTTATATATTAATGTTTTAATATATAATGTTTGTTAAGCCAGAGCGTCAAAGGCCTTCAGGCAAATTTATTTAGACCTTGATTTAAATGATCTAAGACTCAATTTTAGTAGCTTTACTCATATTTTGTTGCGAATTTTCTTTCTTTATTCGATTTTCTTACCGTTAATTTAAGTATGCCTTTTTTAGGGTATTTCACACTCCAAAATCTTTCATTTTCAACAAAAAATTTCGAAACATTTCTTACATATTTTTCATGTTTTAATAGACTAGCCAAAACAAAAACAAACAGATGACATTGTCTAGTTTCCAAAGCAAATCTATTATTGAGGGATACCAGAAGATACCCTATAAAAAGCACATTGAGTAGAAAATGTGAGGTCCGCGCAAAGCTAACGAAAGTCTCTATAAATATTCCATCATATAAATGGAAACTAGCATATGCCTAAGACTAATATATACGCCCACTCAACGCACAGTCTGCAGGGTATCAGCATGCTTGGCGTGATGGCATCTAGTCCAACAGGTCGGCAGTTTTTCAAAATTGTTCAGACAACACTGTCAAAAATAAATTCACGCGCATATCTGCTTTGAAATACATAAAAAGGCGTAAGTTATGGAAAATTTGCAGGGGCTTTTTATGGATCATTTGGGATTTGAGCATAGCTTTTAATTGATTTCATTTGATTGGTGCTTAGTTCAATGTGCAAATTGCGGATTATCAAATTAAAGTGTGCTCTTTGAGGCGCAGTTTCCCAGTAGCCGATACTATATATACAAAGACGAATTTATGGTTTTGAAGTCTATGTAATTTATAGTTTGTTTGCGCTCTTGTTCTCTGCCTTGCCAGCCACTAGATGGGGCCTATCACCTCCAGTTTATTGGTCGATATGTGTTTTCTTTAAATGCTGGGTCTCTTGGTACACATTTCGTATATGCGTGAAAAATATCATTTGTATATATTTATTTGTCTACGTCGCTTTCATATTATTTATTTATGCACGGCGAGTGTTGAAAGCCCAGAAGCACAGACCGAGTGGAATGCCTAATTATTGGGCAAAACGCATAGAGTCTACCCTATTCAGTTGACCTACAGCAGTCGTTCGGGCATCATCTACCAACTCAAGAACAACATAGCTGATAAGAAATATATGTATATATATGAGATACCAGAGATCAAATCAACTTTAAATACATACTTAGAATGCTGACGGGCCGTCGCTCTCAATGGCAGCCATTAACAGATGAAAGGCAATATCATCATTAAGACTATATATTCACTTTCCTATTATATAAAACATTGGCTAACATCGTTCTGAACAATTCCAGATTGGACAGAAAGTCATCACGTGGCATGATATACGAAAATGAGGAGCTCAGGTTGCGCACAATCAACATAAATGCGGAAGTCGAGCGAGGTAAATAACAACAGAAACTTGAAAATGCTTCACAGAGTGCTTAAAATAGACTATATATGCATATATATACTGCCTGTAGTAAATACATATAAATATATATTTGTTGTTTTAAACAGGAAATAAGAATAATCCAAGAGTCCAATTAAAAACACATTAGAAGCTAAAAAAAATAAAATAAAAATGCTTAAGGCGCAAAAAAAAACTCAGAAATATATAGATATGGCTATACAAGACTAGCTATATCTATATATAAATGTGTATATACGTATATATATATTTTTTAGATATATGCATTGTTTTCGTTGATAAGACGTTGGCTAAGTTAGTATAAACAATGTGATTAGGGGCTTAGCTAAGTGCAAAACATAAACACTAATATGTACACACATATATATTATAGATTAACTGTAAATCTGATCTACTTGCATTCCAGGTCAGTCGGATATCAAACGTCTGCGTCGCGAAAATGAGCACCTGAGACGGGAGATCTGGTCACTGCGCGACGAATGCGATCGGCTGAACAAGCGCTTCAAGGCGAAGCTAAGCGAGCACGAGTACGGCGGTTGCCGCGGCAGCGGAGGCAGCGGGCGGCGCTGCAGCGGCGGTGGCAGAGGCAGCGCTGGTTGTGATGGAAACAGTGATGTAAGTAGAATCCCTTAAAGTGCCTGCTCAACTACTAAAGCTTCCTTCCGCCGTGCAGGACTCCGAATCATGTGATACGTGTCGCTGCGACGATGATGGCCACTGCAGCGACGAGTGCTGTCAGGAGCGCGGCGGCTCCTGCGTGCCAATCAAACAGCCACTGCCACCGGAGGAGCCCAAGGTGCAGCCAGCTGACAGCAATACGTCGGCCAAGCCGGACGGCCAGCCCATGCACTTTGACCACCTGTCTGTGGTGTCGGAGGAGACGCTCAGCAATCCGGAAATGCTGCAGGCGCAGCTGCCGCCGGAGCATCTGATGATATGCACACCCGATCTCAACAGCTCGCAGAGCACGCTGCCCAGCCTGGTGGGCCCCCTGACGCCCCTGACGCCCATCGAGCTGGTCGCCAATCAGCTAAACGACTTGCAGGCGATGGTGCCGCCGCTTTCGTACTTTGAGAACATCCTGGCCCATCACCAGAGCCCCAACACGGGTGAGTAGCAGCTGGCTAGCACTGCTCTCGCAGCTCACGACTGACATTCCTTTGCATTGCTCGCAGTGCTGACACCCACGCCCGAGCTGGGCACCAGCTCCAGCACCACCACCGGCCAGACCATGAAGCACACGAATGGCTGGGACTACAATCTGCAGTCGCCCTTCTCGCAGCGCAAGTACTCGAACACATCGTCGCCTTCCAGGTCGCCGCCGCCCGCGCCGCTGACCACCTTTGTGCCCACGTCCACGCTGCAAGCGACGCCCAAGATAGCGCTCAACGTGCCCACGACGAGCGGAGCCGGCGGCAACATAGAGACCGTAGCCATAACGACAAACGCCACGCAACAAGCGCTCAACAGCCCCAAGCACTTCTTCGCTCCCATCAAGCCGCGCCTCAGGCTCAACACGGAGCTTGCCAATCGGGGACAGGACGCACTGCCGCCGGGCTCGCCGCCCCCACCGCACCAGCAGCCGGAGGTCGCACCGCCGCCGCGCGATCCACCCGACATATTTGTGAACAACGCGCTGGCCACACCCTATCAGCGGCCCGGCCCGCGGCTCTCGCCACAAGTAAGTCCGCGGCATCGCGCGCGCTCGCATTGCCAGCTGCACCACCAGCCGTGCCACCAGCACCAGCACCGCCAGCGCCATGGCCAGCCCAGCCTCCCCCCACCGCAGCAGCAGCAGCAGCAGCCGCACCAGCATTGCGCTTTGCATCGGGCGGTTGTCAATGTGGCCGCTGCCGTTGGCTTGGGCGTTGCCGGTGGTGGTGGTGGTGGTGGTGGTGGTGGTGGTTGTGGTGGCGATGGTGTTGGCGGGGCCAACGCTTATGGCGGCAGCGTGGTTGATATTTATAGCGCTGCGCTAGCTGCCGCTGCTTCGGCCGCTGCCAAATCGGCTTCAGCGCCGCCCTCTCCGCTGCCCCTGACCCGTTGCGTGACCCCGGTGTACGCAACCGCACAAAAGGGCTGCCACAGCAGCTGCATCTCGGCCAGAGCCCTGACCCAGCCCCTGATGACAGTCACCACAAACACCACCAGAGCAACCACATCGCCGCTGCGCCAGAGCCTAAAGCTAACCGCCTCCGCAGCCAGCTGCCGGCCAATCGCCGCGCTGTCCACATCGAGCATCGTTGACATTGGCAGTCAGGTGAGGGGATCCGCCTCTTAGCGGCCTCTTAGCTCTCCCAATTCAAGAGTTTCACATTCCACTTTCCACTGAGTATATTGTTTTAGATCATGAAATCTTCTTCCATTTGTTTGCGGCCTTTCATAAATACTTAATGTGGACAGCTTTTAATTTATAGCTCATTCGAATAAACGTTTGTATTTCCCAGACCCAGATATCCTCTGAATCAATATATGTACGTTCAAATGGCTCTGCAATCAGTGTGATTTAATTCCATTTTGTTTTATTGATTCAATGTTTTATATCAACTATTTCTAATCCCCCTTTGAGAACAGATTAATAAACCTTTCAACGTCCCGTTTTTGTTTGAGTCGAATAAAATATAATTTTAATATGCTTCCCTCTGTGTCAAACTGAAAATCAATTTGTATTCAATATATTTCCGCTTCATTGGAAACATGGTAAAATACATAATAAATCGTTTAGATTTCCATTTTCATAAATAGATTGAGTTGATGTGACCCCTTCCCCATATCCCAATGTCAATCGATGTCTAGTTAAATGTTTGTTAATATTCATAATTATTTATTGTGTGCATCTCAAATGTCTAAATGCATTTAGATTTAGATTTATACTTTATATACTCCACTTGAATGTCGTAAATATGTATTTCTATATCCACTGACTAAATGCATTTTGTTTTCTGCCCTCGCTCAGACGGACTCTGTGAATTTGGAGTCGCTGCTCAACGACATCCAGACGATATCGGGCGACATTTTGGCCATACAGCTGGAGAAGAGCAAGTCTCGGGACAACCTCATGGGCAACGGCAATGACAAGGAGAAGAGCAAGCCCTATCGCTCTGAGATGAACCTGTACTTGCAGTATGACGGCACAAATCCCACGATTTCGAATGCAACGAGCAGCACGATGACAACCACTGTGGCTGCCTCCGACTCGAATGGCAGCCAGAAGCTGTCCAGCCGCACACGGTCGCTGGAGCGCGAGCACACGGATAGTCCGGCGCCCCACATGCCGGATCCGATGGCTCCGTTTCCGGAGAAGTGCACTTATCTGGGCTTCGAGCAGATCAACCAGGCGGCCCAGATGCCGCCGTCGCCCTCGGGCCAAAAGCCGCCGCTGGCCGTTAAGCCCAGTTTACCTGCGAAGCCACCGCCGCCGTTGCCGCCGGCACGCCGTCCACCGCCAGTGTCCATGCCCACGGAGCCACCACCGCCGCCGCCAGTCAGCGGCGTCGCGCCAAACAAAAGCCATCTGTACAAATCGCTGGCCAATGCCGCAGCCAAGAGAGCCATCTTTCGGTCCGCGCCCACGCAGCTGACGCGATCCCTGGACGTGGAGTGCGCGGGCGATGAGCCAGCCGAGCCAGCCGGGCCAGCCGGGACAGCCAACGAGGTGACATTGAAGCGCATAGAGATTAATGGGAAGTAAATGTTTAATTTTGATTCTTTTGGCAGGAGGAGGATGCGGCCAAGCGCAAGGCGCGGCGTGTGTCCATCGTCTGTGGAGAGGAGCAGCCGCTGGCGAATGGCGGACTGGAGACCACCGCAGGCCCGGCACCCACAACGACAGCCAGCTGCGGCGACTTGACCAGCGCCACGAGCGGCGCACTCATCCATCCCGCCATCAAGGCCTTCCGGCAGATAAGCCACAGCACGCCCAGTTCCCCACATTCCTTGCGCCGTTGCATCAACAGCAATACAATGACAGCCGGGCAGGCAGAGGCGGCCGCTACGGCCTCCGCACCGCCCAGCACCACGCACCACCATCATCACCGAAAGGAGAGCAGCGATCCGGCGCCCATGACGGCAACGGTCAGCCGAACGAAGTGCTCCCGCCGGCACTCGGAGGGCACCGTGCACAGTGGGCAGCATCGCATTAGCGGCTCGAGTGGCGGAGCTGCGGGCGGCAATGGTGGGCATCACCACCACCACTCGCACCACCACCAGCACAGCAGCCTGATCAGCAGCAATCCGCACCACAGCCACCATTCCCACCAGGACAGCAACCACGAGACGGTCACCTCCCAATCCGATCGCAATTCGAACAGCTTTGGCTCCTCCCGCGAGTCCTCGACCAGCTTCAGCATGCGCTCCAACCGCCGCAAGATATCCATCAGCTCCCACACGGGCGGCAAGATACCGTGGTGCGGCTGCTGGGGCAACGGATGTCTCTAGACTCTCGACACGGGGGTCATCAGCCCATTTGCCGTCCTGTTAGCCACATGGATAGAGATTAGCTAGCCTTGAAATGAAATGGAATGAACCCATTCGAGCCCGAATTCATTTAAACAGCATTTCTGAAATCATCTATTATCAAGTACAAAAAGAGGAAGCAAAATATATTGATAATGAGAACACAATTCGATGCGGCGGTTCAGCCCTAGGTTAACGCTTAAAGTTAAATGTTTTAATGTAGCCTAATTAATGAATTCCGCTCCGCCTCACATTGTTTGAATTCTATGCGATTGTACATAACCTGTCAGAGGAGTATTTCAATTGTGTGTAGCATGTCTAATTTACGAGTATTTACTTCAAATTGAATTGTAAAAATAATTATAATTGATTATTGTTGTTCGATTCGGATAAACATAAATATAATAGTCAAATGTGAAACGAATGTTTGGTGTCTTTGTTCGACAACATAGAAATATTTAAATGCAAATAATTCTTTGATATTATTTGAATATATATTATGTATATATTTGTATACATGTTTATTTTTAGTTCAATTGAAGCCGCTGCCTTGGGCTTTAATATTTATTATTTCGCTTATTAAATTTTACATATTTTTGTAGCATTTATTTTAATATTAAAAAAAATTGTGCTGTTGCATTTGCAGCATTTGTTAAACAATTTCCACAATGCAAAGTAGCTGCCGGGGCCAAATAGAAAAGAAGGACAGCTGCAAATGGCACTGGAATTGCGCAACAAGCGAGAATTCTCATATATAAAATGCAAATTAGCTGCAAATTAAGGTGTAAAAATGCATGACACACAAACGCCTCTAGAAACTGTGCAAAACAAATTAAATTTCGCCATGCAGCTGCGCCAATTGCACCAGGTAAAATGAGAAAAAGTATATGTGTATATGTGTTAACTGCAAACTGAAATGCAAAATATCAAATACAAATTGCAGCAGCGAAGCAGTCAGAGGAAAAGCTCAGAGCTGACGGACTGGCATTGGCTGGATGCAAGGGCTCAAGCCCCATGCAGACTGGGGACAGCGCATCACGCTAGCTCAGAGCTGTGTTAATTATGTTTTCATTAACCCATAAAGTCTGCAGTGAAGACAACGAGGAGTGATTCGATTGTTAGAGCACTAAAAATAATTACAATTTGTAGCAGCTGCATTTAATTTGGAGCTCGCTGCGCTGCCAGATTGCCCAGCGCTTGATTTTATTGCGTTCTTTATTTTGGCCACTTCTATGCTTCGATCTTAATTTGCCTGTTGGCCAATGCCAGATGCTGAAATATACAGATTTCTGTCTGCAGATGAGCCATAAATTAGCCCAATTAGAGACTGTTTACGGCATTTTCGATTCACTTAGATTGAGAAATTATTCACTGCTCTAAAGGAATCAATATATGAAAATCATTTTCATTTTATTTTATTAGGCTTAGGTATATCAAACAATTTTCACTGAAATTCCATTATTTTTAAGTATATTTTACCTACTTACTTCTTTTTCTTTTACCATATTTAAATATTCATTGCGGCTTTTATTTCATAATTCATGTATTCATTAAAAGACACGCACTCTACCAAGACAAGAATATTTAAAAAGTTTCTTAAATTTATAAACTCACATGCGAGAGTGCCCAACGACTCCTGCCAGAGCGCACAACTTAAGCGCTTTTAATATCGCGTTTTAGTATGCTGAACCAAAGAGATAAAAAGTATTTAAATATACATACATATGCATATTTATATACATACATATATGTAAATCTACTATATAAACCGACGACACCATTCAAAAAGTCGCAAGCCAAATGCTTGCATCATTTGCGTTTAAGTAATTGCTTCGAGTGTTATAAACAGGCGCATTCAGTGTGTGTGTGTGTGTGGTTATGTGTGTGTGTGGGTGTGTTGGCTGGCAATTTATATGTAAATACACGAGCACCTGCCCAGTGCCAAATGTGCTGGCATTCGTGCTGGATCTTTCCCTTTGGTGTTAAAATGATTTATGCGCCGGGCATACGCGGCGTATACGCATTTTATGATTTCTCTGAATGCTGACGAGGCTTGTCCTGGCGCCTTATGCCAATGAGCTGTGTCTGCACACGCACACACGCGCACACATATGCACACAGAACCGCTTGCTCTTAATCAAGGCGTATTTTAGACAAACACACACGCACACACACACACTCTGACACTCTCCAGCCACAGACGAAGCCATGTCTACGGCTTTTATTACCATAAATTCTGTTGGCTTCTGACGACGGCGACAGCTTTGTCATCAATCGCTATATGGCTTTATTCTTTATCATTTCTGTGCGTTGCTGTTGTTGTTGTTGGTGTTGTCAGCGCTTTGACGTATTAACAATTTGTCAAGCCGAATTAGGCAGCAGCAGGAGCAGGAGCAGCGGCAGCAGTAGGCGGCGTCGCGTAAAAATCAATGCACAGTAACTAATTACTTGCTAAAGCAGCTCTCACACACGCAAGCACACACACACACACAGACGTACACAGACTGACGCATTTGCTGCTCCCAGTTGGCTAACTTGGCTGATTACTTTGGCTGCAACAGATGGGCAGCCTCTTTGCCAGCTGCTGCTGCTGCTGCTGCAGTTTTGCTGCGCATTAACTGAGTGGACAGACAGTTCACACACACTCGCACACACACACACACATTCACACACAGAGACAAAGCTGCCTGGATCTGCTGCATATTGCAAGTAGCAACTGATGATGTCCCAGTTGGCACCCTTGGACAACTACGTACACACATACACACACACACACACATAGACAAACTCAATCTCTGCATGTGGGCAGCAACTGCCACTGCCATTGCTCCAGCTGCCTTTTCTTTTTTTTCCCATTTTTTTTTTTTTGCAGCATCTGCACTTTTCCAGCCAAACACTCACTTTGATCATTTCTCATTTCAGCTGGTGACACATGAGCTGCGCCCGCCCACTGCCACGCCTTGCAGCCATGTGGCATTGTTGGACCTGCGTTATATTTTTATTAAGAAATATATCAAATGCACATAATACACATGGCCCTGGTCGTCTGCTCATGTGATGCAGACACGTTTGCGGTTGCACAAAGATTATGCTTAAATGACAGACGAGCATTATTAAAACAAACAATTTACTTTACAAGTTCATTTTTAAAGAGAAGAATGCGAAAGTTCAAAGGGCGAAATTCTTGATATCCCCTTTGTGGATTTTTGCAAGTCAACTCATATTTGGATAATTGTTTAGAGTCGTTGAAGTTCTCGTGTGAGCTTTGCCGAAAATATGTAATTTTCCTGGAAAGTACAGAAAAGATGCTGAAGAAATCCATATTTAAGAAGGTGGTTTGTATACTTTTGTATAATAATAGTAGTCTCTATTAGAGAGAGGAGCAATGGGGAGGAATCATCATTAAGCGCTGCCATTTAACTTTCATGGAAAGATATATTATTGCATTCCATGGAAAATTGAAGTTATATTAAATATAAGAAGTTGTTTACTTTTATTTAAATTTATTTATTAACTATAAATTAAATTCAAAAGTAAAGTCAGTTTACAAAAAAAAGTAAATAAATGAAAATAAAAAAAAATAAAAAATTATTATGTGGATCAAGGCTAACAAAATGCGGTTTTTATTAAAAGTAAAACAAATTTATAATTACTACTAATTAAATTACAATTTAATATTTAAATTACAATTTAATATTATTCTTATCAGATATTATTTTATATTTTTATATATTTCCATATTTTTATTTATATTATATATTTTTATAATAAATAATCATTGAATACTTGTTATCCGAATATTAAAGTAACGCCAAATTTGAAAGTTTTTTTTATGTATACATATACACATTACATATATACCTCATGGAAAGATCATTTTAGCATTTACGCCTTTTTTAATCTCACTTAATATAACAAATTTTATGAGCGATTGAAGTTAAAAACTGAATATTAATGTTAATGTTAATGCTTTAATTATTTGTAAAAAAAAATTGACATTTAAAGCAACTTCTGGTGCTCATAACCCATTGACAAGCAATGCATTAGCTCTACTGCTATCTATCAAAGACTTAAATCCGCAGCATACTCAAACTTAAGCTAGTTAACCTTCCACATCAAGTTCATTGCAGCTCTGTCAATTACAATTATCATCTCTGGCGCACTTTAAGTGTAGGCTGGATTATATTTCCGTGCATCTGTCATTCGCTAAGCGACTACATGAAGGCAATCCACTTCACAGCGAAATGCTTGCCTCTTAAATTTTTAAATTTCCGCCATTGGCACTTGGCGGCATCAGCCACCGTCAAAGTTCGTGAAAATAAACTCGGCGTGCTTATTGCATGGCACTCGTACAATAAGTGAAATCTAATTTATTCATACAAATCTCTCTAGAGCAGCGACGGCTAAGTGACCTTTTCGTGGGGGGCATGGCCCGAATCTGGGCCATAGACCGGGCCACACAGAGCCCATTGCTGCCTTGTCGATCCGTAGTTGGGAGAAGAGCGAGCACTATTCGCAAATTTGCATAATCGCGTGAAGCTTATTTGTTAAAGCGTAGCTGAGCAAAACAAAATGTCACAAATTACACGCTCCAATGACGGCATTGCCGGATTGCTAAAAAGGTCAACGTGCAGGATGTGTGCGAATGTGTGAATGTGTGTGTCCGTCGTCCGTCGTCCGGACGAGCTACCGGGCTGCCGGGCTGCCGGAGCGGGCTATTCGCAAGCAGTTTGAATAATTTGCATTTAACATGCGCGACATGAAAACCAAATAAACAACGTCTTGCAACACCTACCCCATACGGCAACGGCTCCTGCTCCGACTCCTGCCACAGCTACAGCTCCAGCTGTCGCCTTTAGCTGGCCATAAAGCTGAGTGGCAATTTGTCAAGCAGCTAACTGGCATGGCCAGCCACTCGGCATTCACTTAGTTGATTTGTTGCACTCGTTTTTCGCCACCGGCTAAATGCCTCAAAATGCGATTTGATATGTGAGCCATGTGGCATGCAGCCTGCCAGCAGAAACCGGCCATTTCCGCTTGGCCTGATACGGCATCTCCCCTGCCCGGCCAATCGCCAGCCAGCTCGCTAATAGCAATCTTTGCATTAGCTGTGACTCCCCGGCCAGCTACACGAGTTCATTGAAC